TCGCAGTCCCTCGAACCGTTCGTCCTCGCAAAATTCAACCGTCGCTCATTATTCCCATGATCGGGATTTGATTATCAGCAAGCGTGGTCTCATTTATTAGGGATAGAAATGCGTCTTAAAACCGTTGAATCTCGTTTATTAACAGACATTGTTGAACTGGATGATACAGTGAAAAAATTAAATGAGTTGTGTAACGTTAGTACGTATGGGGTGAAATTTGCCGTCTGTTTGATTCGCGGCGTAAAGACGAGGGAAGAGGAGACGTGGCAGGGGACGAGCCCGAAGCGAACGTAAAATGACTTTCCAAAATTCGAAATTCCAGAGGAGAGACGGGCGAGCGATAAAGCGGCCCGTTTCCAGCGGGCACTTAGATACCACAATTTGCTAGATGGTCGCCCAGGGCGAACCGTCCACTCGAGCAACCTTTGCTTTGTGTCTCCGCCGCGGCGGTCAGGACAGCGAGAGAATTCGATTTAACTACCACGTGGACACAGAAATGTGCTTCATCGCCTCCACCCACGGCACGATATAGTATTCTATATATAAGGCAATTCGACAACAATTCTTATAAATTCGCGTTACTGAATCAATTCGGGCATTTTAGCAAATCGTACGAATTGATTCTGTAACCTTTTCTTTTATGAATCGTACAACTCCGTTCATAAGTCTTAAAGTGTTCAACTGAATCATTCAGCATGACGAAAATCCGTGATACTTTAATGAATAATCAAGGAAAGGTATCGTGTGTAAAATTTTAATGGTCAGAAACCATCAATTCACCTATTTATGGGTCAAATTCTGGTAAAGTCTTACATGAAAACTATTTATGTTCTTTTATCTGAAATGCAACTTTATTAAAACTACTTCATACATATGTACATGATCTATTATTACGATACATGATAAGAACACGGTGTAAGTAGATACGCTCGTTTCGACGGACTGTTGTTCGAGGCAACGTCCTTCGTAGCTCCGCCACCCTCTCCTCGTTTAGAGTTAACGCAATTTCGATCGACCGAGACCTTTTGAGAACTCCTCCCGGAGCAAGAACGGCCGCGTGTGCGCCGAAGACACCGACGTCAAAAGTCCTGCATTAAATTACTTCGCATTTCCATGGCGAATAGAGGGAACGGTGCATATGCATACCGTTCCTTTGTCCAGCCTAGACGGTAAAAACGCGTGTCCCCTTCGCCAATCTCCTTCCTTCTTCATTTTACCGCAAACTCGTTCTATTTCCTTATCCGTCGATAAATAATATCGAGTCTAAACGTCGAGAGATATGACAGAAATTAATAATTGTCATAGACTTGGATTGAAAGATCGTATAATTAGAATTATACAATAAGCGTGCAAAGACATCTAGAATTATGATTTATATTATTTATGTAATGATTGAGTAGAATGTTTGAAAAATTTGAATGTTGCTCGGATTTTTGTCTAAAAATAAATGATGCGTCTTAGGATTTATGAACGGAGGCATAGAATAATGCAACGTTTGTCCATTTATAATGATACGCGACGATACGAGGGTACGATACAAGCGGATACGCGTCCGAAGAGGGGCCAGAGGAAAGGTCGGCCTGGGAGGCGCATAACCCTGCTCGAATTTATAAAATATCATTAATCTTGGAGCGTTCCGACTGGCAACAAGCGTACGCGGATCGAAACGTGTGTTTATGCCATCTCGCGGGACCGTTTAGACTTGATTTATCGTAAGAAATTATCGGAATGCTAGAAATACCGTATCATTATCGTGCATCGTCTCTCGTACCTGCACCGAGAATATACAGCTAGAAGACGAACGATCCCTATACCCGGGAATCGACCGTGAAGACCCGTGTAACGTGCAGAAGGCTTTTTTCCAAAATTCCTCCCACGCAAATACGTGCGAAACTTTTTCTATTCGGCACGCGGTTCCATGAACGTGAAAAGAATCGGACCGATTAATTTCGACGGTTGAATTACCGTTTTCCTTCGGCCCCCGGAAAAACTGGAAAATTTATAGTCTTTGTGACGTGTTTCTAAAGGGCGAGGCTCCATGAAACGCGGTTCCATTATTATTGGAACAGCGGGTCACAAAAGGGCGAGAAGTTAATTAGCTATTTTACCTTTCGACTTTTTTTTTTTTTTTTTTCTATTCGAACCAGCCAGGGGAGAGATTTAATGAAACGATGTTAGGTGAGGAAGTGGAATCGGCGGTGGGGGGGCTCCCGCGGTCTCCAACGGGTACAATGCTCCGGCTGTTGTCGCAATTGTCTCGTTACAAGTAACAATACACCTCGGGCTGACCTAGAATTCCTGCCCGGTGTCTATTGAAATCTGCATTCGTGAATCGAGCCGCAATCGCGGGAACATGCAAATGTTCCGCCGACGAGGTTGTGAAATTCCTCCGATCGCAATTAAGGCCTGTCCATACTGCCGTACCTCCGCTACCTGTAACCGCCGCTGAACCGAGTAAACGTTCCGATTCAAGAAAACCATTCTTTCTCACCGTAGCCATACCGATCGATACCGATAGCTACCCGAGTATCGTCGCTTCCAACCATACAGACTGTCTCTTCTCTCTAATAGACTTCTGTACGTAACAGACCGTTTCTTTTTATGAAACATTTAGAGGAACGAACTGTAGATGGGAATTTCGTTTGCTTCTCAAGCGTTGCGACACGATTCGTTTTTACGCTCCCGTACGATTGCATTTACGAAACGTCGGAAAGGTTATTTACAAAAATCGTTGGAATCATTCTGGGAGCGCAGGATCCTCGTCTGGGACACCGGTCGCGCTTCTTTTCCGCGGGATTGGTGGCCGCAGGTGAGAGACCGATGATTATATCGATCGAGTCTTAGCTTCTCGAGATGCGAGAAAGAGAGAGGTTTAGGGGGATAATTTGGATATTCGGTGATTCGGTACCCGGTAGCATGATCGGCATAACGCTTATACACCGGCTCTCGGATGGCGATTGCCTCCGGGCACTGATATTACCTACCCCCGTGATCAGCGCCTACGTCGAAAATCGCTGCGCGCCACATGAGAGTCGAGTCGACATTTTTTGCGTCTAGCCGGTAGTAAATGCAGGGTGTGTGCCCTTACGCGTAGAGGGTATAGAGGGGATTAGGAATCTAAAAGTTCGTAACCTTGAAAAAAAGGGGCGAAAACGTTGGAAATTGCACGGTTCGAATGCAAATCTTTCCAAGGATTTGCCCAGTCTCTGCACTTTCTTCGGGGAACGTCTATTTAGTATAAATTCCAAAAAGGAATGCAACTTTTTTTATTCTGAATTATGGGATTAAAAGGTGCCGATTAAAAATCATAACTACACGCGTCTCGCATCGTCTGTTTTTTTTTAAATAGAGAGAATCACGATTATTATTTATTCGCGTGGTTATCGCGGGTGTGGAATTTCTATTTTCTCTGTGGGAAATTTTTGTAACGCGCGATATGTTTCAGCGCGTTTTCACGCGACCTTGAAAAGATATTCGGATATAAACCCGGTGGATATATGAATTCCGCGACACGGAGGCGCTTGCCACGGTTAAATACGATCGTGTACGTGCGGCACCGTTCGGCTACGTGTGCGTAAATATGTATAGGTATAAATATATACATATTCGTTGAGCGCGGAGGGTAGGTAATGCAACAAGTGGCGGTTTTCACGGGTTTTCCAGGGGATGAAACGGAACGGGCCGGCGGATCGGGAGTCCCACGCCACTCTTCCACTTCCACGGCGAAACCGCCGACACTTCCACCCCCTCCGCGGCCGCCCTTAACGGCCGCAAAGCTGCTCCCGTCTGGAATTTAAGGGTGGAAACCCTTACGCCGTCCCTTCTCTCTTCTCGCGTCACGGAATTGAGATAGGTCGAGTCACGATCGGGCCACTCGACCTTGCGATTAGGGGATCAACCGAATCTGACCGGGAAGCTTCCCATTCATAAGTCTTGCAACTGGAGTTTAGTCGAATTCATGATTTCTCGTGTTCGACAATGTTTCGTAGTCATTCGATCGAAGTAACTTGAGAAAAAATTTATATCCCATTCGGAACATCTGCACGTTCTCACAATATGAGATCGAGATTGGCTTCGGCATTTTTTTTTTTTCTTTTTTGGAATGATTTTTACGTTTGCTCGGTTCGTTGCTCCGCGAGGTCCTTGCGATTCTCTGCTTAGCGAACGAAACGATGGGAGTTATAGTTTCCCGAAGCGGTTAGGGATACGTATATTTGCGAGTTTAACGGAGTGCTGGTGGAAACCATTATTCGAAATCGGCGGACGCGATTGGCCGGCATCAAGGCACGGAGAGCGGTTCGCATGATTAAGATCATCCAATGATTCCTTCTCTATAATGATAGGCTCTGCCGTTCCTGCTCCTGGGTGCTCCCTTCTGGGTGGTGGGGCGGCTTGCGGGCGGAAGGGGGAGGCATTACGCGAGATTACTAAAAGGAATCTTATGCTAATGAAAATGCATCTTCTTCTCTTCGATCCTCGCCAATTCCGACTTGCCGTCATTTCCACGAATTGACAATCGTTAGGATCATCCCCTTCAATCATTGGCAAAGGTTTGACCCCGATTATTAACGTCAAGATGAAAAAGCAGAAAGAATCGGTCGGTGCATGTATCACGTATGGCAACGAATGAGAATGTTGAAAAACGGTAGACCAATTATTTGCATTCAGAAACTTCGCCGCGTTCGCGATAGCATTTTCATCGTTGAAGTATCGTACGTTATTTTATTTGATTCGAGCAAGAGCTGTTTGCTTCAGGAATTTAATGTGAGTAATGTAATCGTAAGGAAATCATGTTCGGACGCGTGACGCGATGGCCACGATAAATCCGTTGGTTTTTGCGCGAATCATTTCCTTTGGAGGTAAAGGGAACAGAAAAGATAGGGTAGGCTTCTTATTATTTTCATTACGCTGTTATAATGAAGCATCAACCAGACGAGGGAGGCAAAATAAACTGATGGAGATGGACGAATTGAAAAAAGACATCTACCAGTTGGCTATTACAATAATACGTGATTCGTTTATCCCATCTCCGTACAGTCTTGCCCCACACTGACCCAAAGCCTATGTAGTCAATTATATGATTGCAATCGTGCAATACATCGTACAGCTCTAATCATATAACAAATTCTGAATAGTTTCAATAATTTTTGTCCATTAATTATATCGTTTATTGTACGACTAGTTCTACGTGTACTACTTTTGTAGTACAATATATTATTTGTTTGCGACTGTTCTGCAAATGTTTCATTCATCAAACCCTTGCCAGGCCACGGACATTTGTCTTGCCTTTTTACGAACGCTGGCCGAGGGTTCAGGGGTTAAGATCGCGGACACAGCGGTCGGTGTCGAAACAAAGATGCAAAGGCCGTGTATCGTGGTCGAACAGATATCGGGTAGGCTTCTTGATTCCGTGCTGGAAAGCGTGACCACGTGCTGCTGTCGCGGACTGTACGATAATGCAGCAAGAGGATGGATACCCCCGCATAACAATATGAACTCGGATCGTCCCGGTCACGTTCGTTCGTTGTGTGTGCGTGTGGTCCACCTCCGATCCCCGTCCTCTCGTTCCTCTTTTTTTTTTTTTTTTTCATCTTTCGTTTCCCCTTGGGTTGTGTTTCCTCGAACCTCGGTGGTATCTTCCCCTACCTACTCCCGCCGCATCGCGAAACACACTCATTATTAGAGTGGATTCCGCAGAAAATTTCCATGTGTACGAACGGAGAAATTCATTTAAATGTTCCATTATGAAGTAACAATGAAAATGACGCACGAACGGTTTACGTTTCTCGAAGCATGAAAATTTTATTTGCCGCGGAGTTGCGTTAAGAGAAATTGAGTCAGAGAAAGACAGGTATGAATTTGTTGCCGATCCGCGGGTTGAAATTTACGTAAGACGAATCAGCGATACGATCCAGCAATGCATTACAGGATGCATCGGTCTAACGAGCAAACATTCAAGGATGCTTGGGTTTAATGTTATAGAATCAAAGTTGAGCGAGCACGCGAGCGAGCGCGATCACGCTTTGTTGACTTTTTTCAATACGCGCGTCTGTATATGCGTATCGGAAACCGCGTAATTTTCGACGCGGGGGCAGGCAACCGAACATCGGTCTCAAGTGGAAACAATCTAATCTGTCCAACGCTCGTCGACTTTCACGTTACTCGCTCCGTCACGTTCCAATACTCCACCACTGGCCGCAGAGTCTGTCCATCCGAAATCTATTAAAAATTAACCCCCTGCTTTCAAGAAACGGCTAGAACGCGAAATATTAACATGCGCATAATCTATATTTGATACTGTACTTATAGTCATAAAAATTCAACGTCGCGTCGATATAACTTATGAAATACGTCACGAAGTCACGACCCGATGGGAAAGGTCTCGCGGCTATTTAGAAAAACATTTATCATACGTACGCCTAATACCGGTAAACTGCTGAGCAACTTCCGCCCGTCTCGATTTAAATTGCTCGCTATTTGTTACATCCCTGCTCGGATACTGCAGTAAAATGATGAAATTAATAACACATTTATACATAATTTGATTTGAAATTTTTGACACATTTATACATAAGCGATGACTGAATGATTATGCAAAATGTAAAACACATTTTTTAAACTCATCAAGATTATGCAACGACTGGGTAAGATCTAAAACGGCACCAGTTACATGTTTATTCAAAGTGAAAAATTATTCACTTTGTATAAAAATGTAAATGTTAAGTCCAAGTGGCAATACGGTGAATGTCGTTGACCGATGCGACGAGTGGACGTTAGAGTACCGAGCGAGACGGTGAAACGAAACAGCGACGGGCACGAAAATAGCGAAGGGGTCGGCAATCACGAAGAGTCAGCCACCGAACCCGTCATTACTTGATTACATTTTTGCTACTGCCTCGACCTGTCTCCGTTCGGCCGTCGTAAATCTCGATTAAGTTTCGATATTCGGAATAGACAGAGAAAAAAAAACGCCTCGCAGTTGTTTATCGAGTTGCCAGAAAAAAGGACGAGCAGGTAAAAGCATCGGTCGTTAACGTTTCCGAACTTCAAGTCACCTCGAACAGCTTAGCGTTTGTCGAAAGGTCTGATAAATTGATTCTGATTTTGATACACACAATGTTTTATTCGATTTTCTTGTAAATGCATCGAACTCATAAAAATGAGAATACGATTCTTAATTCAAACGAATCGATTGTTGTTACAATGTGCTTGCAACTTCGAAAGAATTTTTTATATCGTTCCTGGAAAATAGAAATTGGATGGACACCATAAAATAGAAATCGACGTTGTCTCAATGTTTGATTCAATGATGGAATCCTCGAGATGGACACAGAATCGTGTAAAAGTGGAAAGGGCACGGGGGTGGATTAAAACGCGTCGGGGTGGTCCGCGACCCCCCGTTGCGAGTAATATCGATGAATTATACCCATAAGTCTGCGGCAATGTGCGTGACGTGTATCCTGCAGGGCCAGAGAGAGAAAGAGAGAGAGAGAGAGAGAGAGAGAGAGAACACGCGCGAGCTACCGGCTTGATGTCGATTCGTCCAATCAGACTACGTCCCGTAAATGGAAATCCAAAAGTTCCTCGTATCGGAAATGCAGCGATCCCGAATCTCCCGCGCGTTTTGCATTCGGACCGTTCGAAATTTACATCCGAAATGATATTTCGAAGATGGACAATGCCGATCCATCGATGTCGCTTTTGCAAAATCTCTCAAGGTGGGAAATTATCATTATTCTATGCGTTTGGTATTTGATGACAATTTTTAAATATGAAATTAGAAACCAGTTTTTTTTAGTCTCTGAGCATTACGATGTACAGTTTGGCATTGAACGTGCTCTTGTGTAGGTTGGTGATTACACAACTGAATTTATTATGAATGCAGAATTTGATATTTCAATTTATTCAGTGTCGAACGAGTAGAGTGAATAAATTGCATAATATGGTAGTTTTTCTTGTATGATTCATATCGTGTCATTTCACTGTTTAATCTTTGGAGAAAACAGCAGATATTTAAGTTTTAGCTATATCTAAGTTTTATAAAGGGTTGTAATAGGCTTCTAATTTTTAGTTCAAAGTGAGACTATGTACGTTCGCTAGACGTAGAGGTTCAGAAGTTTACGGGTTCTGTGCAAACTCGAATGAAAATCAAACAGGTGCAAAAGTCTCATTAAAGCAGAAGGCAAGGAATTGGTAAATGAAAACGTAAATTGAACTAAATTTCTTCTTATCAAAAGAACAATCCTTAATCCATTTGCATCTACGCTATTTGTATAGGAAATGTAATATCAATTAGTACATGACTCATTGTATCAATCATTACATGAACGATCAATCATCGTATTAATTATTCCAACCATTATATGAACCGTAGTATCATCCCATTAAGCATCGGAACGATTCGTTACACGAAATACTGTGTTAACTTTTATTATTTACAACGTTTGGCGCAAGCGGGTTAAGCTGCATGGAAAGAAGCGTGAATTCGAGGAAGGGTAGAAACTCGTACGCACCCGGTAACCCAGTCCCGTGACCCACCGCTGAAACAGGCGCGCCTCTCCCGTGTTTGGAATTGATTCGACCGACTACCCCTCGGTTTTTCATCCCTCGCGGTCCTTGGGGTGCGCCCTTTCGAGAGGGGGAGCGCAAACTCTCGAAATATTATTGCGGTAGTAGCGAGTGCCGTAGGAACGCAACGGTTCGATGAAGTCGTAAAAAGGTTTCGGGGGCCCGGGACGTGGCCAAGAATTTTTACGAGTGCCTCGTCGATTTAACCTCGCGCTCTTTTTCTCTCTACGTGTTCGGCTCCGACACCTTGCATCGAGAAAAATCCTATTCAAAAATCAAATACATGCAGAATTTCTCTCAATCGTTTAATTACGAAGGCATTCTTATATAGTTCTCACATCTCGCTTATCTAATTCTCTTATAAATACGTTTAAGAATCTCACTTTTGATGATATCTTCAAATGTCATATGCAGTACTAAGTACGGTTCTGTAAAAACATGAAAGCTGCAGTGAAATGATTAATTTCTTTATCATTCTCCTTGTGACGAGAAATGAAGACGATCAGTGGGGGACTCGGGGGGCGACTCATTGCCTTTTATCATTTGGCACATTGCAGAAACAATCGATGCAATGACGTGTGCGCGGGTCCTCGTGTGCCTCGGTTATCAGATTAGAGACCGGCCGGGAATAATTCGTCGGATCTTTGTCCCTAATCACAATTGATACACCAACAGCAGCGTGTTCGAATGGAGGCGGTACACCCGGTATACATACATTTTACCATTCGCCGCGTAACACGTCGCGTCGGGGCCCGGATTGTTTATCGCTCAAATAGCCGCCTATAGGCGTGATCCCACACGGTGGCTAGTATATTTAGGCTTTCGTTAGGTGTGTGCATATAATATAAACATTCGATATGCGTTATAGGCGCGGGGGCGCGCGAGCGCGAGCCTCACCCACACCCTCCTCGCTGCGTAAATACCCGGGCTAGCTATGCGGCACACGCACGTGCGCGCTTGCCTTCGTACGGAATACACACGGCCGCCGATGGACGCCCGTTCGAAATCGATGGCCGCTTTATTACGACGAACGATGTATAAGCGGTATTCCAGCGCTGAATCCTATTATTATACCGGACAATTATAATAATTATTTGCCTTTCTCGTCGTAACAATTAATACCGCTGCGATATCGCGCGCGCGTATGTGCCCGGACGTGTTATACGACCGCCACCCCACACGCTTATGATTACAATTCTATGAGAACTCGCCCGCGCGATAAACGATCCGCATTGTATTTAAACGTTCTCTATTCCTTTATTCTTTTTCCATCAGAACTGCGGATAAATAATTGCCGTTGAACCGGGGCGAACGCTTCTAATTTCCCCCGAAGCGAATTCGTAGAATTATAATACGGAGTGGGAATATTTTATGCGAGGTTGTTGCCGCTAAGCTAATCAACTGATGCGGGATCTGCAGCGTGACCGGTCGTTTGTTTAGATAGAGTTCCAATATTATCGACAGTATTAATTAATATTACCGTGCCGTCGGTAATTAGCATAAATCGACGCGACAAATTTCCTCCTCGCGCGGTGCCGGCTCGGGCGAAAAAAAGAGAAAAGACCTGGACGCGGCAATTAGGATTTCAATTAGATTTGAACGATGCACTGCCGCGATTTACGTTGACAAATTTGGCCGGGCCCGTCTGGAAGGGACGAATTTTAGAGGCACGCGTGACCGCGTGAGCTGCGAGACCGCGCTAAACGACCCGTTTATTTACCGTTATTTACGGAGTAAATTTGACCGGTGTCGGTATTAAATTATACCTTGTAATTTCGACGATCAACTCGTTAACTAAATACCGACGCGCGAATTATTCCCAATATACCCCGGTTTTTTCCTTCCTCCGAAGCTAATAGGATTTCACCGGAAGGAAACAGTGCAAGAGTAATTTGTTCAGGCTCGTCGAGTCAAATTGATTCTCGTCGATATCGATTTCATTTATAGACACTCTCGTCACGCGTTTGTAGAAAAAGATAAAAATTCCGTATAATAATTTTGGGAAGGGGGTCGATGATCGCGTAATGATTCACTACGCGATTAAAATTGTATGATGTATACGTTGTACTATTTTGGATGAAACTTGTTTGTGTAGGACTGTCGAAAAGAGTCATCAGTTTTCGCGATAGTATCTCGAGGCCGCAAAGGAAATGCATGGCCCGTATTAGCGACGATAAGCTAAGGAAGAAACGTTCGCGGGTGGTATACGAGGTAAGTGGCGGTAGGTTTAATAGTAAAACCGGGTCGGGGAAGATCGAGGGGGTCTGCGAGAGGCAGGGGCGGGACCCTGAGAAGGGGTGGCTGCGCTGAAGCAGGCGTGTAAATAATTTCTGATATAATACGGTTAAAAATTACCAAGTTTAAAATTAAATAATTCATTTTAATACTGGCTGGCGGCTGGCCCGGGGGAGGGGGGGGTGTAGGTTG